GCAACAAGTGTATACCTTCTGCCGCCTGTAGCAGGCGTATATGGACCCAGAATGTCCATGCCCCACTTAGCAAACGGTAGTGGGCTGTGAATGGTAGTGAGGTCAGTAGCCGGACGGTGAATTAATTTGCCAAACCTTTGGCACTTGTCACATTTTTTCACCATCTCCATTGCATCTGCTTCCAAAGTAGGCCAAAAGTAGCCCTGCCGCCTTGCCCTTTGAGCAAGCATCCTACCACCTATATGGGAAGCACAGAAACCAGAGTGAAGATCATCTAGTATCTCTCGTCCCTTTTCAGGAGTAACACACTTTAAGAAGGGTTGAAGGTGCCCCCTCTTGTGCAGTTCCCCCTGTATCATTTCAAAACAGGAGGCTCGTTTTTTCAGTGAAGCCGCCTGTTGAGGATCATCCGGCAGTGTACCGTTTGTCAGATATGCCCTGATTGAATCCATCCAGGTTGAGCTTCTGTCTAGAATTCCAATAGGATTTTCCTCGATGCTTCTCTTCTCCATTACTTCCCAAAACACAGTTCGAGGAGTATCGGAGGAGGCGGATGATGCTAATTTCGAGAGTGCATCTGCCTGGTTGTTTTCTGATCTCGGTACTTGGATCAGATGGAAATTCTCAAGGGAGCCGACTGCTTGTCGGACCGCCTGTAAATATTTGATCATGGCCGGATGTGTTGCTTCGTATTCGCCATTGTACTGACTATCAGTTGTGAATCAGAACAGGCGTCTATTTTCCTTGCCTTTCTGGCGGACTCTGTCTGGGACGCCTTTCTTTTTCTGTCGCCTGTTTCTTGAACAGGCGCACTTTCCTTGACATTGTCAAGGTCTGTTTTTTCTCCACTTGACCCAGTGGCCTTAGCAGTGGGTTTGACATCCGAGAGATAGCACTCTCGGGCCATCCTCTGATCTCCCCTTAGGGAGCCGACTGTTCCATTGTCCCTTTCAAACTTAAGCAGCATAAGTGACGGGATTATAACAGCCTTGGCACTATTCAGGGTTGGGCGACCCAGAATCATGTTGTAGGCAGAGAGTTCCTCTACAACTAGGAATCGGACTACCATGTGTCGTCCTTCCCCTTTTTCGCCCAGGCGGACGGGTAGATCAACTCGTCCCAGTGGGTGGACGACTCCTCCTCCAAACCCTATTAAAGGGTGGGAGGCCGGATGTATGCAGTCCGTCTGATATTTCAGTTTTGACAGACATTTGCTGCTGATGAGATCTGAAGAGCTCCCAGTATCTATGAGGATTCGACCAACTCTCTGGTTGGCCACTTTACATTCAATAACGAGAGGGTCGTCATGCGGCCCCCTTATTCCTCCTAGATCCTCTTCAGTGATGACAATCTCAGGATATGTATATTTGGACGGTCGTTCTTGGTGAACGGAATTTACATCTAACCGCCTTATATTATCTTTGTTGCCCCTAATAGTGGGGCCGCCTCCTGAGAAGCCGCCTGCAATGGTGTAGACGACTGCATCATCTGTATCGGAACTGTCGGCCTGTTGATTCTTTTTGGCCGACTGCTTTTTTGAGGAAGTATTCCCCGTAGATTTCTTGACATAAGTGTCAAGATCACCTTGATCAGCCAAGCGGTCTAGGTACCGCATGAGACTAATGCAGTCGTTGGTGTGATGACCAATGTCATCATGATAAGCACAGATTTTGTCTTGGTTCCGGTTGCTCGCAGAACCCTTCATGGGGAGCGGTTTCTCAATTGAGAGCCGTCCCTTTATTTCTTTTAGGATAAACTGGTTATCCTTGTTAAACACATACTTTGGGGAGTATGGTTTGAATTCCTTTTTCTTCTTGGCCGGCTGTTTAGAGGAATCAGCCGCCCAGACCCCTTTTCTTTTTTCATCTTTGTTGGACGACTGTTTCTGTCGTCCTTCTCTATTGTCGAACCTCTTCCCGTCCGACTGTTTCATTGTACACAGATCAGTCGCCTGTATATAGGCTTCTGCTTCAATCAAGGCCTCTTGAAGAGTCGCCACCCTTTTTCGAACTAAATCAAATTTGAAGGTAGACCCGTCTTTGAGACCTCTAAAAAAGTCAGTATAAGCTACCTCATCCGGTAACCCTTGAATCTGTATTCTCATCAGGTTGAACCGCCTGATGTAGGAACGAAGCCCCTCCTTTTCACCCTGCTGAATAGTTCCCAAATCAAGGGTCGTTTTCTTCGCAGGGATGTTCATTGCAAAGTTGGAGGCAAATAAGTAAGCAAGCGTCCTGAAACTGTTTACACAACCAGTCGGCAGGTTGCCGAACCATTGCTGTGCAATTCCCTTGAGAGTTGCTGGGAAACACTTGCACCAAGTGGGATCATCCAACCCTTGAAGGTACATCAGGTTGGTGAATGCCATCAGATGGTCTTCCGGGTTAGTAGTGCCATCATAGGCGCCTACTAAAACATTTTTTACTTTGGCCGGCTGAGCGGCTTCTGTAATTTCCTTGGAGAAGGCCGACGGCTGTTCACCAAGTCTAAGCAGCCGTAGCTGCCAGTCCATAGGTTGGACGTTTTTTGCTGCAGGTCCACCAAATGGAGGTGGCTGCATAAAATATTGTTGTTGCGGCACAAATGGCAAATTTGGTAACGCCTGCGCACTATGAAAGCCAGACTGACGGGAGGTGCCGCCTGACTGACTCTCATGGTACGACTGAGTTGGCCTCATCGAGGCATTTCGCAAACTGTCCTGAAAATTTGAAGTAGAAGCCGACTCTGATAATCGGTCACTCTTCTTCTGCTCTAGCAGGTGCCGAGCATCTGTGAACGTTTGCTTTGACCCATCCGCCTGAATATGACGAACCGGTTTCCTATTTCCCGTAGGATAACGGAGTTTTGTGAAATCAAGAGCAGACGGCTCCCGCTTCTTAGATTTAGGATGGGGAGTCGCCTCTCGCCCTTGAACTGGCTTCCTCTTCAGTGAAGTGGAAGATTTTTTGGCCGCCTGCTCTTTGACTGAAGCAGGCGGTTTTTTGTTGATCAACTCTTGGATCTCTCCCTTGAATCCCCTCATGAAGGTCATGAGTTCGTTCCTTGTGATCGGAGCAGACCCATCAGTCGGCTGTTGCCGAGCAGGCGGTGCGCCTGCTGGCTCGCTTCCTGTTTGAAGATACTCCCGTTCCCTTATTTCAGTATGACGGGTACGGCGGGCCCTTAGGGTCCCGTCTGGAGCTGTATGAGTTTCAACTTCAAATTCACTTTCGGTATCATGGTCCGACTGAACTTGAGGGTCGTCTAGGGGACGCCTCTCTTCTGGGGTCGGTACAGACTTGGATGCCATCTCTGAAGTACTCTCCCCACAGACGGCGCCAAATGTTTCGGGGTTTTCTGATGTCCTGCGGGAGAGTTACAATTCCGAGACTGGAACCGGACGCCTGTACCTGCAAAATAACGGAGACTCCTGAGAGCTCCGCCTCCAACGGTCAAGTTAGTACCTGATTAAGGAGTAATTAATACAGAAATTAAGGTAACAAGATCTCTCTAGGTGAGAGTATTTAATGTAGGTAATCTGCTTTGCTAGCGAGATCAGCCGGTTATTAGTGTGTTCCGTAATGTATTCGGTCCCTTGATTAATGAGGATTAATCGAGTATTTATAGCCTTGGGAAGCGTGCAACTCTCTAGGTTTAAGGTAAACCTAGGGCCGATCGGGCTTCTAGACTGAAATGGGCCTTGATGGCCGGTTGTCCCATTTGGCATGGGTGGACACGTGGCGTGTCTTAAGTGGTCCATGGAGGACGCGTGGCGGAACCTGGTTGGTCCACTTGTCAAACGGTGCTTGGTGGATAAAAATCCCCTAATCAGTTATGACACAATTTTCTAATTAATATCATATTTTGGGATTGTTATCATTATTTATGTCCTTGTTATTATTTTCAATTATTGTTATTATTAATATATTAATAATACTAATTATTATTAATATTATATTAATAATAATTATTATTATTAATATTAATATTATGATAATAATACTTATTATTTTTATTAAAATTAATAATAATAATAACTATTATTATTAAGAAAATTAATAATAATAATAATTATTATTAATTATCGATATTATGTGCAAGATCTCATGCGTATTATGTGTAGGTATTAGTATTAGTATTAATATATATTATTTCCGAAAAAAAAAAACAAGTCAAAGGCACCGGTTCATGCTTAAAACCGGTGCCAACTACATTGAAATTATTAAAAAAAAAAAACTGGCGCCATTATAGTTGGCACCGGTTAACCGGTGCCAAATCAAGGTAGTTTTTTTTTAATCAAAATTAAGGTAGTTGGCACCGGTTAACCGGTGCCAAATGGCTTTAGTTGGCACCGGTTTTGAACCGGTGCCAAATTTTTGAGGATTTGGCATCCCTCAAATCCCCAACGATTCAAAATCGGTGCCTTAGGGGGGGTTTGAACCGGTGCCAAATTAGGATTTTCGTCCAGTGACTCCTGTAATTTTTTAAGTGAAACTTTTTTAATTTTTGCATTATTCAGCTAATTCTCTTTTGATTAATGCAGTGACGATTTATACATAAGAAAAAATATAGTCTTGCGGATACTTTTTGAAATTGTCTTAATAAATAGATCGATTATTAATATTCAATTGTTATATTTTAATTTATTGATAGTTAAATTTAATATAATACTGGTCAAAATTTTACATTGACATACATGCGCAAGAGAAACATTTCATATAATTAAGGTAGAGTGGCTAACGCGCGCGATGTGTGCGCCATACCTAGCCATATCTGCTAAGTTTTTTCGATTTAGCCTTATACCATAACTTTAGTTTTTGGTAGGATCAATGATGGAAATTATATAAACAAATATTTTTAGATGTATAAATGTAAGCACTTTAAAATAAATAGACAATTAACATTAATGAGACCAAATAAGTAAATAAACTTTTTAAAAGGTAATTGTCCAAACACTATTCATAAGAGTTTACTCAAACTTTTTAAAATGTAGGAGAAAAAAAATATAAAGGGAGTTTGTATTAAGTTGAAGAGTCATGGCTCGACCAAACCAATCAACTATTGGTCCATTGCGTCTTTCAACACAAATAGAAATTAAACATTGATTGTATTACACAAATAGAATTAAGCATTATCGATTGTCTTTTGGAATGATTTCAGGATATTTCTAAATATCCAAAATTTATGATATAAATAGAAAATATTCAAAATTTCAAAGTGTTACAAACACACGCAAATCAAATCACGTATCATATAAAAAGTAACGGATAGACTAATACATTATACATGCATTTTTTGGAACTCCAACTTGTTTAACACCACGTCACCATAAGTTTAGTTGCTTGTGTTATGTCGTCTCATATAAGGCTTGAATACCTTCAACATCATCTTGTTGGAGCTCTCTTTTTCTCATTCCTTGACCAATGGTCGGAAACATCACAGCATTCTGATCTTGACTATGGCCGAGGCCGAGGAGGTGACCGATTTCGTGAAGCACAACGGAGTTTAGATCCATTTCATATAATCCAGGGTCATCACTCCAATTCTCCGTTGCATCATAATGTGACCGTCCATCAGTTGGGTAAAATGAATGACCTAGTACTCCTCCAGGGCCATCAAAGGGTTGACCATCGCCGTGTTCACCTTCCGCAAACCCAAAAATTAGATTGGACTGGCTTCCCTCGACCACTTCCTGAAATGTGAAGGGGCTATACTGTGCCCATTTGTTCAATGCATCAGCCACTACGGATCTCATGTTCTCGGCTCCTTTGACTAGGGTCCCTGACTGGATTTGGTACGTTAGTTGGTACTCTGAAGATGGCCACATTTGTCCCTTATATGCGTACAAGGATGTTCCATACAATGACTTTCGGCTTTTGTAGCTAGAAGTTGTTTTGTCCTTTTGCATTGTATTTCTACCATTGATAATGTCCGGAGAACCACATCTGTAACAACGGAGAGCAACCATGTTAAGTATGAGCAGGAAAATTTTCTAATAATATAAGTACAACAGTATTGCGTTATTGCATTAACTAAATTGTTATCACTCAAATGTGCTGATAAAATTATTGAAACATAACGTACCTAGGTTTCGTCATTTGTTCCACCGTTGCAGCATCCAAATGTCCTGTAACATTTAGCTTGTAATTTTTCTGATATGTTCTGATCGCCTCCTCAAGGCTCTCATCGAATAATTGAGCATCTTTGTTAAGGGTCATGGTAGTAGTTACCTTGTTTTCAGACACCGGATGATTATCGAGGTACCCAAATTTTGCAAGGTACCTTTTTAGATGGTGAAGGCCATCTACATTTTGGCCCTTCCTACATCCTTCTAAGCTCTTAAGGAAGCCAAAAGGGTTAACATTTGGCTTTGACTGAGTTGTGAGTGAAGCCAAAGTAAGGAGCAATAATAGTATAAATGAAGGAAAAATAAAAGGTACAGTTGCCATAATAATATTTTAAGATAAATTTTACCTTAATATTGATTTATTTGATTTGTTTAGATGATTAAAATAGATGGTATAGCCTATTTATATTGGTGCAAAATCTTGCAGTCGTTATCAAGAAGTCTACCAAGTCGTTGAAGACCTTCAAGTAGTCTACCTAGTCGTCGCTAATTGCATTTTGCTAGCAATAATAACTTTTATTTTTTTATTTTTTATGAATAGTAATGACTTTTTTTACGCGTATATCATTATTTCAGTTGATGACTTGGGTGCTTGGTTGCCAAACGTATGGGCCATTCTCGCATTTGGGTGGAAACTGGAAAAAAATGCACAGTTAGTGACTAGTAAGGTCAGCAGGGCTCCAAAGGGTTTCTCTCCTATGTGCCTTATCTTGTTATCTATGATGATCATACAGGAATGTTAGCTAAATCTTTTCATGCTTTTAGTATTTCTCATGTACAGCCCATCTAGTGGCAAGGTGGGATACGCGTGAGTATGCGGAACTTGTTTGTATTAACTCCTCCCCGCAAAGCATTTTAGCTTGCGGACTTGATTTGGAATAAATTCCTGTTAACATTTCCCCCTCAAAAACTTAAGATAGAATATCTTAGTTTTGTTCAAAAAAAAAATAAAAATCTTAGGTTAGATTTTTTTCTACTAAAAAAACAGACTAGAATATTGTTCCTTCCCTGTGTATTGTTTTCTTTTAACGAATACATTTGACAAGATATGACTTTATATTAGTAAAAACTACAGAAAGGTTGATGTTATGATAATATTTTGTGCATGTGACTAATCTAAATAAGTATATGGATATTGCAAACATCAAAATGATGCATCTCAAAATACAGAAATTCTTGTGTGGACCTGATCCACAATAATATTATTGTGAACCTGAGATTTATATACACACAGTACTAACATTATTTAGAACATAGTGACCGTAATTTTAACATAGTATCTTTATTTTTTAACATAGTAACCTTTATTAAAATTTCTGTTTACATGCCAAAAAACTAACCTCTTATATTTTGCTTAAAAAAAAAAAAAAAAAAAAAAAAAAACCTCTTATAGCTTTTATAATGTCACAATCGTTTTTATTTCAACATAATAACCTTTATTTTAATGTAGTGAAACTTTATTTTATTAATAAAACAATCATAGTATCTCTAATGTTAGTGGTTCACAATAAATTTGTGTGAATCAGGTCCATTTAAAAATTTGTACTCAAAATAAATAAAGGGAGTAGTACGAACTTGATTGAACATAAAGTGAGCTAATTTGGAAAATATCTGAAACGTGCTAAATATAATAGATCAAAACAAAATGATACTTATTCATGGACCATTATCACCAAAAAATAATGACAAATCATGAAATGGAATTTGCTTGCTAGTTGCGCATCATCCCATGTGAAGAGAAGATATAGCCATTGCTGGAATTTGTCGAGAGTTCTTAAGATGCTTATAGTTGCGAATTTCACACGAAAGTAGTATCAAATCGAGTATCATCAATTCATCAGCAGTCTAATCTAGGTTAAGTTAAATTTGGAGAAATCAAAAGCGGGCCTAGGGAGCCCAATAAGGAGGACTGTTCAATTCCTTATGAGCTCAAATGAGATTTTACCCTTAAACCAATTGGTGATAATACTATCTCCGTTCTTTTATTATGAGTCTGCATTTTATTTACGGGTAACCAAAATTAAAAGCCTAATTCTATATGAATGTTGTACTTTTTGACAATATTATTCTCTTTTTGATAATTTGTCATCCCTTTTTCTTTTTCTTTTTCTTTTTCTTTTTTGTACTTTTGACATCAATTCCCAATATTTTCTCTCTCCCAATAATTTTCAACCACTTTTCTATATGTCTCTCACTATCCCCACATGCATATTTGTACTACCAATCATTAGTTTTAAGCAATCTACAAATTTCTTAATTTCCGTGAAAAATTCTAAATAGCCTCTTAATAAAGGACGGAGGGAATAGTATATAAATATGAGTAATCTTTAATGGAGTTTTAGACCTTGTTCAGTTCACCTTAAATTAATAATTTTCTGTAAAATAAGTTATGTTCAATAAAAATAATTTTAGTTAGTAAAAATAATTAATCAGTAACTTAAAAGAGCAAAGATTATAGTAAATCAGTAAAAATAAGTTTTAGTCAATAAATTAATTTCAATTTGGTAAAATTAATTTAAGTTCAACATAAAAAAATTCATTTCAGTCGAAATAATTTCGTTTCAGTAAAATTAATGTCAGTTCAATAAAAGTAAGGCGAAGAGAACAAAGTCTTGTATAATAATTTATTGTTCAACTTAAATTATATTTAAGTAACTTGAATTAATTTATAAAACTAAAAATATATATTTTTACTAATTAAATCTTAAATTTACTGAGTTTCCAGTATATTTGTTATTTAGGATTATTAATTTTTATTAATTAAACTATTTCTACTAAAGTAAAATTGTTTTGGATGAGCTAAAATAATCTTCATACAGATTATTATGCTCCCTTTGATATGAGATTCTACAGTTAAAAAGCTCGATCAAACAATAAAAATGGATTTTAACTTCATTAAAACCCATTCTACAAAAATCACCCCTTAATGTAATATAAACATAAAAAAGTTCAAATCTATGACTAATATTACATATACCCTCAATCTTTGTCGCATAAGTACTTTATCAACGTACAAACGACGCTCAATATTCTAAGTCATAGCATCTAAAGTCAAAATCTTCAACTCTCCACCCAAAAAAAAAAAAAAAAAAAAAAAAGAAAAAAAATTAAAGTAAAAACAAGTCATGCATTAAGTCTTTAGTAAAGCCATCACAAATTCACAATTCATATCCATCATTAAATACAAAGTACTCTCGTATTATTTATTCAATCTGAATTAAAAACGGTGACTTACTGTTAAGTCATGTACTGAATTTCCGAAATGGTATAAACATCTAGAAAAGTCATTACTCCGTAAATTACCACCAAATTGCGTAGTCTTGTACTATTCGCCGCCATCACCGGGGAGTCCGACCTTTGTACAAATAGTCTTGACAAATATGACCCGGGCTCCTTGTTAGTTGTTACCCAAACTTGACCTGAAAAGCCCAATTTCATTGTACCCGAATTAAAGTCTCACTTTTGTACCTTTTACATATTAGCTTACAATTTCGTAGTACCAACCTACTAGAAAAGCGTGATGATGGTAAATAAGTCGCTCATACCTCTAACGAAAATGCTAAAGGTCACAAGTTGCGACAAACAAATATATGTGTCACAATGCTACATGGCAGATGACATGTACGGGAAAAAACGATGAGATGGCGGTTAAGTGATGTTATAAAGGCTAATATAAAGGGTAAAATGTTTAAAAAATGATAACTTTATAATAAGGCCATAAGGGTAATTTTAAATATTTTGAAGTATAATTTTAACTCGTCTTACAATGATTTAATAAAAGTCTGTCCTATTTCAAAATTTGTGTTAGATTTATATAATACTAGTTTAGGATCCGTGTCACGCACAGTAAGTTCAAAACAAACTATACATTAATATAAAGTTATATAACAAAAAAAATATCAAAGATATGCAACAAAACATCAGAGAGCTAATTTATTATGAATAATACAAAACGTAAGCATAAGCTCATTAAATGGAGTAAAAATATAAATTAAGTAGAATGGAGAACTAATTAAAGGTAGTTGATTACCAATCGCTTTACAATTTTTTCAATTGATCTAATTAATTTGATGGAGTATGCAAATAAGCACTACTACAAAATGCGTGTTTTTTGGATGCTTTTTAGGCCTTTTTTCGACGCTAGAAAGCGTCGAAAAATAATTTCTCGACGCTGCAAAAAAGCGTCGCAAATCCAAGAGTCGAAAATTTTTCGAGGACACAAAAAAGTGTCGAGATTCTCGACGCTTTTTATCGTCCAAACTAATATACGAAGCGTCCAAAATTACATATTTCGCGCAGTATCCCAAATGTATGTAGTTTTTTAGCGACGCTTTTTCTTGTCCACATAATCAAATTTTGCGACGCTTTTTGTTGTCTTGTTTTTATTCGTGTCAGCCTACGGTATGGCGGGAAAGTCTTTGAAATTTGAAAATGTGCAATTATGTAGACATTAAAAAGCGTCTAGATTTATTTTTTAAGCTTTTTTTTTTCTTTTTTTCCTTTTATTAAATTATTACCATCATACATACATTATAGTTATTTAAATTTATCATAAATTAAATTAATAACATTAAAATTAAAATAAACAAATATTCAATATAACAAGATCAGATTAAAAAAAACAATAATTAATCAACAATAATAAGAGTATGTTGCTAACAATTACCAAATTTATAAATAAAAGAAAACATCAACACAATTAACTAAAATAAAAAAAAAAGTTGCATATTATAGTAGCTTGTCCCTAAATAAATACATCACTAATATAAATAAGACTAAAAACCAAAATAGATAGATGATGGCGTTATAGACAATATAGTCGCTTGTTTTGACGCTCAAGTGTCCCGACCTATTCTCTTGTTGCTCCTACATTGCCTTTTCCAATCTTAAAAAAAAAAAAAACAAAGTATAAATTAGTACATTACACAATATAGCCTTATACACACACACACACACACACAAGCTCAAAATTATATTGGCTTATACACACACACACACACATCACTTTCTCAGTCCAAAACTATCCCAGTTGCTAACAAAATAAAGAATTATATTGGGTATCAACAATTTTCCACAAGGAATGTAAAAGCAGGAACTGTTTCTGCTATATCAACTAATCATCTCCTATCAGCCTCAATTTTGCAGCAGCAAAGAGCTTTTCACATATTAGGTATTACAGCATGGCATCAAACATAATGTCTAAAAAACAAATGAACAAAAACTAATACTCTGCATTTCTCTATATGTGAAACGCATGGCATCACTTTAAAGTTTCAAACCTAGGTTTTGTTACTGGTTATTATAATAATAACCAGTCTTTTTCCTAATTAACTTTGGCGCTATTGTTTAGTCCTAGATTCTTGCTTCTGTCTGAGTAAAAAAAGTGGACATAA